TCACGTATCACATACTCCATATAATCTGTATGTTACTCATTAATGTCTTTCAGTGTTTATCACAGTCAATCACATATCATATACTATCTTTAATCCGTGTGTTGTTTATTAATATATATCCATGTTAATTATGTAGTCTTTCATATAACACATACTCTTTAATCCACATGTTTTTCATAAATATCTTCCCATGTTAATTACACAGTCTTTCGCATATCTTTATAAAAACTAAGACAGTCTTGTAGATCACTGCTATCCTTATCAAATCACACTGCTACGTTCCAGATAATTTCTTAACATCTTTATGTCTTTATATCCTTAATAATCCATAAACTAAACTCCGATATAACAAAAGTAATCAGTCATACTTTAATGTCCTTTCCATCATATTTCTAGGTTTTTCAATCAATTGGTAACGTCCTTATCTATATTTCCAACAAAACGAACCCAACTCCTGTAACAACTAATACTGTAAAGGTTAACACTTAAATTTTCAGACTGGCATACCTAGTGACCAGAGTTTCATCCTCGAGGACGCTTCCATCTCTGGCGTAGTAACGGAATCTTATCTCCATCTTGATAGGGTTGTTTACTGTGCCCTTCTTATAAGGCTCATACTCCTCTGTTTCGACGTCCTCCTCCTCTAACCTTTCTAATACTACTTTGGCTGTTTTGGTTATTTTCTTACTCTCATCCTCATCTGAACTGGTCTCAATAATGGCAACACTTTTTGGCTCTTTGACTTTTTTCTCGGGGCACTCTTTGGCTTGGGTTTCGGGGATTTTCCCTTATCTTTATTCAGAACATACTCCTTTCCTTCCCCAATTGGTATAACAATTCTACTGTCCCCCTGACTATCGACCTTCTTGGTCCCAGTATGTTTTCCCTCTTTCTCTTTAGGTTCTACCCTCTTCCCCCATACTATGGGTGACTTACTGGCCGCCGTTGTCACAGTGTTTGAAGCCATGGTGGTAGTCGTAGAGGGTAATGCAAGGGGATCCTTAGTAACACTCTGGGAACTCACAGAACTTGTTTTGGAGGTAACTACTGAAGTCTTGGGTACAGTGGTGCAAGGAACACTCGTGGGAGTAGGGCGTGTCCCAAGGGAAGTTACAGGGGCCTTAGAAGTGACAGGGGTTACTTCAGGTGACGTTGCATGATTCTTAGAGACAATAGGGGCTGGGGCAACTACCTCAGGGGCGCTCATTAGAGATGTAGGTGGGGCCCCTAGACTAGCAGAGGGTGGAGGGAATTGAGGTCTCTTGACATCAGAAGCGGATTGCCATGTTTGTAACAACCCACTAAGTTGCTCCATGAGATTAAATCCTGTGGGTTCCTGGACTGTCGCTATGCGTTCAACTGGGAGGGAGTCTTTACTAGAGGACCTCGAAGGCCTATCCCATCGGGCGAACTTATCCACCTTACCACTATCACTACTATTCACTCTACGCTCCTTACTGTCTCTATCTTTACGATCATTGCTTCTGTCTCTATGGTAATCCCTACTATCTCTATCTTCTCTACTGTCTCTATCTCTACTACGGCCCCTACGATCATTGTATCCATACCGGAACCTATCACCACGGTCACCGAATCTTGGTCTTGGCCAATGGGACATCTTGTCTTCGACCCTGGAAGCACATAAAACAGTATTTAACTCATAATCACACAAGCGTTTTTGGGGTTTCCGGACCCTCCTTCCCCACCCTTTTGATTGGCCCATAGAATCTGTACCACCCTGTTCACCCTCAATCACTCTCTTATTTTTAGACTTACTACACCCTTTTTCCTGTGTTTCACTATCTGCATCAAGTATCACTCCTTTTTCCCTCATTTGGACTTCTCCTCGGTCGCTAGGCTCACATTTTTCATCTCTCGGCTCAGTTTCATATAACTCCACATCCATCGGGTCTGTTTTCACCTCTATATTCATTTTGGTCTCGGGTGGGGTCGGATCATCATCATGGAGTATTTTGTCCTCAGTTTCATCACTGTCCACTCTCATCTTTTCTCTCTGTTTCATCTCGGACGAATCCAAAGTCATTGGGTCGGATGGAATCTCCTCCAACTTCAGTTTGGTCTCATCCGAAGGTATTTTCCAGTCTTCTGGAAGTTGGCTCTCGTATGGTTTGAGTTGATCAAAATGGACCACTTTGGGTGTCCGCTTTCCCCACTCACAGATGCGATAGGTGACATCAGACATCTTCTGCAAAACCTGAAATGGACCTAACCAACGACATTGCAATTTAGGAGAAATACCTCTTTTCTTGTTATTGTTTAAGTACCATACTGCATCACCAGAATTATATCCTTTACCAACCACACGTCGATCATAAACATCTCGTTGACGGATTGCTGACTTTTTTAACACCCTGCTTGCCCTTTCATGAGCATCTTTCAGGCCTTGTCGAAGTTCAATCACATAGTCTGTCTTCATTTCTTCACATTGTGGATCCTCTATCATCCAAGATACTGGAACAGATAATTCTCGCCCAAACATCATCATAGCTGGCGTTTCCCCGGTAGCATCATGTGTAGATGTGCGATACGCCATGAGAGCAAATGGAATCTGTACATCCCAGTCAGACTGATGGACCTCGGGTTGCAACAACTTAGCAATAGTGTCAAGTAAGGTCCTGTTATATCTTTCGACCATCCCGTCACTCTGTGGGTGGAAAGGGGTGGTTCGGGTCTTGTGTATCCCCATCAACTTGCAGACTTCTTGAAAAACATGAGATTCGAAGTTCCGACCCTGGTCGGAGTGCAAGTCTGCGGGAACTCCGAATCTACACACAACTTCTGTAACCAGCTTGTCTGCCACTGTAATGGCTTCTTGGTTAGGAAGGGCAAAGGCTTCTACCCACTTGGAAAAATAGTCAGCACACACCATGATCACCTTGTTCCCTCTAGACGTCTCGGGAAATGGTCCTAATATGTCCACTGCATACCTCTCCATGGGACTACTTACCCCTTGTATCTGCAATGGAGCTCTTCTGGCTCGCAGAGGTTTTCTTCTCTTTCCACACGTGTGACAGGTTCGCACGACCCCTCTGACATCAACCCTCTGTTCGAACCAATAAAATCTCTGCCTACTTTTCAAAAAGGTCCTACGGATTCCAAAATGCCCCGCTACCTTGTTAGTATGACACATTTCTAGAACAACCAGCTTCATCGGGGATGGTACAACAATTTGCAAATGACCATGCTCTCCACTTGCATCCTCCCATCTTTTACAAAGTACATCCTTGTGAATTTCTAGCTGGTTCCAAAGGTGCCAATAATGTTTGGTTGCTGGTGAGTTAAAACTGATTTTATCCCAAATAGGCCTAGTGTTAGAGGAACGCAACGCCTCTAATATGGGCTGTATCTCAGGGTCCTGTTCCTGTGCCTCTGCAATCTTTTCCAACGTCCAAGTTGGTTCAATAGCAACCATAGCAACTTGTAATTGAGACACATCTTCTTGTTGAGCTACCTCATCACAGTGAGAACACTGTGTACAGGGTCTCCGAGACATAACATCGGCGTTGGCATGTCGTGGTCCAGGTCTGTACTCCAATTGAAAGTTGTATTCTTGAAGCACCTCTAACCATCGAGCCAATTGTCCCTCTGGGTTCTTAAAATTCGTCAACCATCTCAAGGATCCATGGTCTGAGCGAATGGTGAATCGTACACCATATAGATATTGACGAAAATACTTCGCGAAGTGCACCACAGCCAGGAGTTCCTTCCTGGTTACACAGTAGTTTAACTCTGGTCCATTTAGTCGGTGACTGGCATAATATATAACTCTTTCTTCGTTGTCTTGTATCTGGGATAAAACAGCGCCAACAGCTTCATGACTGGCATCTGTGTCCAATATGTAGGGACAATCATCCCTTGGAAAAGCCAAAATCGGTGCTGTAGTTAACCTTTCCTTTAAAGTAATGAAGGCTTCTTCAGCTTCAGAGTTCCACATAAACCTCTGGTTCTTCCGTGTTAACTTGTGCAAAGGTCCTGCTATTTCAGCAAAGTTTTTAATGTGTCTCCTGTAATATGATGCTCCTCCCACAAACTGCCGGACCTGCTTGACAGTCTTTGGAGTGGGATATTGTAGCATAGCTTCCACTTTCTTGGGATCGGGTGCAATGCCCTCCCCTGAAACTACATGCCCTAAGTAGTTTACCTGTGTCTGAAGTAGAGTACACTTCTTTGGTTTCAACTTCAATCCAGCTCTACGTAATCGCCCAAATACCCCTTCTAAACGTTTTAGAGCTTGTTCAAATGTAGGGGAGAAAGAAATGACGTCATCCAAGTAAACTAAGGACCCTTCCTTGTTCAATCCGCTAAGGACTTCTTCCATCAGTCTACAAAAAGTAGAGGGTGCGTTTGCCAAGCCAAATGGCATTACAGCCCATTGGAACAGTCCCCCTCTCACAGTAAATGCAGATTTTTCCTGTGCTTCTTTGTCCAGTAATATTTGCCAGTAACCACTGGCTAAATCCAGGGTGCTGAAATACTTTGATCCATTCATCATGTCTAACGTTTCGTCAATCCGTGGGATAGGAAAAGCATCTTTCTTGGTAACGCTATTGAGCTTCCTATAATCCACACAGAATCTCCAAGACCCGTCCTTTTTCTTTACTAATACAATGGGCGATGCCCATGGACTCTGTGATGGCTTAATTATACCTCGTCGCAACATGTCTTCAATGAGCTCATTCACTTCATCTTGTCGACTTCTGGGCAACATTCGGTATCTTTGTCGAATAGGAGTAGTATCCCCTGTATCAATGTTGTGTTCTACTAATGTAGTCCTCCCCAAATCATCATCACTTTGGGCAAAGATATCCTTATTTCCTCTTAGTAGCTTCTGCAATTGATCTCTCTGGGTCTGATTAAGTCCACAAGAACTCCGTTCAAACAAGTCCTGCATAAACTCTGGTAATGGCAAAAGTGAATCCTCAGTCCCTTCTGAACCTGTAAGCGGGCAAATTATTTCTTCAGTGACTTTATCGAGATCTACTTGATAGGTGTCCTCATCTACAGAGGTAATGACTCCTAATACAGCCCCTTCGGGAATGGATATTTCAAAGTCATTGTGATTCCTTACTTCCATATAACTACTTTGACTTGTATCAGCTAAGGTTGTCACAATTTCGAGTTCTTCTAAATCTTCGGCATCTAAATAAGGTTCAATAATACCCATCCCAGTGAGTGGCTCCTTCCATTGAACTTCAATAAATTGACCAGAAAAGGCAGGTAAGATCACTTCATGGGCAGCATTATAACATAACGAAGATTGTCGTGGATCAAACATTTGCCTTAAATCTGATAATATATCGTCCTCCAACTCTAAACTTTCTGGTGTATTAGGAGGCGTTTCTGGAATGATGATTGGAGTAGCTGGAGGGCTATCAGGAAATCGCATTCCTTGTTCAGGTGATGGAGTTTCAGGTACAAGTATATATTCCAACTGTTCCCTGGCATCTTCAAAATCCTGAGAATCCTCAGAGTCCTCCATACTCTCCTCGGGAATAGATGAAGGGCTATCGGGGAACTGGATCCTGGCTACAGGTGGGGTTTGTGTGGTACCTTTAAATTTTGCTCTCTCTTTACAACTGGATCCACTATCAACTGATTCCACTTGTTTTCCACAAGCCTCAGAGATAAAATCATCTGCTTTTAGATCAGAACTGTAACTCTTATCCAATTTGGCCATTGACCCCACACTGCAACTTCGAGAATTGTCTGTTTCCCTCGAATTCAACTTCATTTCAGCATCCTCATAACTGTCTGTTGAAATATTGGGTTTGTCCTTGGTCCCAAAGCTAACTGTGCATCGGTGGTAGTCCACTATCGCGCCTGATGCAGAAAGATAGTCACTTCCCAAAATTCCTTCGAAGTCAATTGGGGCTACTACAATCTCCAACTCCTCTTCATGTCCATCGATACTCACCTTACCGAATATGGCTCCTAAAGTGGCCAATGGTTCACCATCAGCCTGCAGCATAATATGAGTAGCTGGTATAAGTTTAGGACGATAGCGAGGGTTCATCCTTCTGTAAACTTCACTGTTTACAATGGTGCGTGCAGCACCAGAGTCCAACAAAAAGGCTACCTCTGCACCACAAACATCACCATGAGCGATAACTTTACGGACATCTTTTGGGGACTCATTCTTTGAAACATCTCTCCCAAAATGAGAGAGGAATTTAACTGGAGCGGCTTGGCGTGACTCAGCTTGTGCTTCTTTAGCTCGCTCCTCCATTCGCTTCCTGCTATAACACTCTGCAATAACATGACCTGGTTTATGGCAGAAAAAGCACTCCAATTTTCTGTATCGACTTCCCTTTATTTCGGAATTGGTCTTCGGATTATCACCATCAGACTGGATTTTCGTCTCAATCAGCTGAATCCTCTTCTCCAGATTTTTGCGATCTTGTTCAGTATTTTTGCGATCTTTTTCCAGGTTTTTTCGATCTTCCTCTTGCTTGTTGCCTAATTCCTCTAACAGCCGAGTGAGTTTCTTCAAATCATCATCCTTGTCTTCTAAAGCATTGACACGGCTATATCTGGACTTTTGTCCTTTCCTCATTCTTTCCGATTCCACATAAGATTCTTCTCTTAGGGCAATTTCAATTGCCTTGTCTAACGTTGTGCATTCTTTATTATGTATTGCTCGGCGTATATCATCCTCCGCTATCGCCTGCTCAAAACTACGCCTTGCTAATCTATCCTGGGCTGACCTACTCATCTCAGGATATGCCAATGCTGTAAGTCGCCTGATATCCTGTCCTAAAGTCTGTAAAGATTCTTTTGGCTTCCTCATTCGCCCAATTAGTTCGGCCTCATATACCTCTGCTTTTCCTCCAGGCCCATATCTTTTCTCCAAGGCTAAAACTAACTTGTCATATGTGTATTCAGCTTCCATTTCCAACACAATCTGTTGGGCGGTACCTCGTAGACTGGTAGCTAAGTATTCATTTTTCTCTTCTGAGGTCCAGCTGTTAGCTTTAGCACATATCTCAAAGTGAGCTCGGTACTCTTGCCAAGGAGTTGTTCCATTGTAAGTCTCAGGCTTGATCCGGTTCTTAGACTTGGATATCTGGCCAACCAATTTCATAAGGTCCATGGAATCACCAGGTATATTATTATCAATCTCTCTTTTCCTCTCCCTAGTAGAATCATCTCTTGAAGAACGCGTTTCAAATCTACCTTCAACTTGACGTATCCCGCTATCACTTCCATATTCATGCTCCATCAGTTGACCTCCCATTCTGTGCATAGACTGGCCTCCTGAAGCACAAACGTCCTCTTGCTTACAGGCAGGATCTCGCTGGTCTCTACCAGTTGATTTCTGTGTAGGAGTGACATGAATTCTGTCTTGTCTTTCCAGTTTCCATGGTTTCATTCTTGATGGAGTAGGAGGTTCAGGTGTAAAACAATCTGTGTTCTGCGGACAGTGCCTCATGGGCAAAGGAGGTGACCGTTGTGCTCCCCTTCGAGCTCCACTTGGAGTTGCATACAAATCATTACCAATAGCATTCCCTGTATACAAAACACCATTGGACTTGGTCTCTGTACTAACTGCTACTGTAGTACTCTGTATATGCTGCAGGATCGCCTGCAACTGATGATCTTGTTTCTCCTGTCTTTCCTGTTGTCTTTCTTCGCTTATTTGTCGTTTTTCTTCTCTTATTTGTTGTTGCTCTTCTCTAATTTGTTGCATATGTCTGTTCTCTTCCATTTGCTTTGCTATTAGAGTCATACTATGAGTCTGTATTTGTTGGGTCTCTTTAATATCATCCAACTCTTTCTGTTGCGCCTCTGTAACATTCCCAAAAACAGACATCTGATCTCGCAACTGACCTTCCACCATAGTTAACTCTTGTTTCACTATATCCTCTGTCTGGCTCTTTTTCAAAGGCCGATTCATAACAGTAGAGGTTATTGGAAAATGTCTGGCAGTATTCCTTTTATCCAATCCCAGGGGATTTGCTGGAGTCTCTAGATTAGTCAATCCTCCTCCAGACCAATACCCTGTAGTTACATTGCTGGGTAAAACTCTTTTCTCAGTATCCACCTTTGGATCCTTTGATCTAGCGCCTGCACCAAGAGGGGCCTCCTTTGATGCATCAGAAAATGTGGCGCCATCTTTGTCCAATGGCTGAGTTGTATCATTAGCTCCCGGATTATTTATTTCCATTGGATTTGTCTTCATGAATACAGTAGTCTCCCCTTCAATCTCTATATCCTCATCATCCATTGGATAGGGAAGATTGGACTCTGGATCCATCCTAAATCAGTATAATGCACCTCGGGCTTATATCTTCAGACAATTAATCCCACCGCTGCCACCAGTGTAACAGTTTGGCCTTTTTTGTGGATATGTGGTAGTGTGGCTAATAAAAAGACCACTGTTTAGTAAACGGTGTTTACTTGTGGATTGCACGGCACACGTTAAATGTGCTTTGTCCCTAAAGAAATAAACAAAATATACAATTTTATATATATAATATAAAACAATATATTGTGGCGTTTATAAGCCCAAATAAGATGTACATGCAATTTCAAATGTAATGTAAGAATATTACGGTGTTATTATTTCTCTCAAAACTCACAACTCAAAAGTCCATGAGCTAATAATAATTATCACTGATAAAATAATATCCAGAGTCCATATAAACTGATGATCACTATATAACACTGTTGTATTCCGAATATGCAAAGTTCATGTAAATTGTACCACTTGTACGTCTTGTATTGTTATTGTATCTTGAACCTGGAATAGTAGGCTGAGCGTAACAAAGTCTTGTCTCCTAATTTTGGGAAGCAACTTTACACAAAATTCATAGTACTCATGCTGAAGCTTGGTGTGGATTTTAAAGCAGGGGTTGGCGTAGGGGGTATTGGAACTGCTGGAACAGGCGCTTCTTCGTCTTGAATCTTAATACACACCTGGGAGCATATGACTAACATCAAACATAAAAGTACAAATAAAATTCCACCCACGACCAAGATGATGAAGGGGATATCCAGTTCCATCCACTGTAAACTCAGCAACTGTCTTGTGTCTTGCTTCCAATGAAAATACTAATTCTCCTCACGTTGTTGTAGTATCCTCCACTGTGTTGTAGGATAATTCAACTTTAATTATATGAAATAATCAAAGTCAAACTATCGGCTCTGTAAATGGCTATCTCTTGGATCCTCCTCACTGTGTTGTAGGATAATTCAACTTTAATTATATGAAATAATCAAAGTCAAACTATCGGCTCTGTAAATGGCTATCTCTTGGATCCTCCTCACTGTGTTGTAGGATAATTCAACTTTAATTATATGAAATAATCAAAGTCAAATTATCGGCTCTGTAAATGGCTATCTCTTGGATCCTCTTCACTGTGTTGTAGGATAATTCAACTTTAATTATATGAAATAATCAAAGTCAAACTATCGGCTCTGTAAATGGCTATCTCTTGGATCCTCCTCACTGTGTTGTAGGATAATTCAACTTTAATTATATGAAATAATCAAAGTCAAACTATCGGCTCTGTAAATGGCTATCTCCTGGATCCTCGTCACTGTGTTGTAGTATAATTCAACTTTAATTATATGAAATAATCAAAGTCAAACTATCGGCTCTGTAAATGGCTATCTCTTGGATCCTCCTCACTGTGTTGTAGGATAATTCAACTTTAATTATATGAAATAATCAAAGTCAAACTATCGGCTCTGTAAATGGCTATCTCTTGGATCCTCTTCACTGTGTTGTAGGATAATTCAACTTTAATTATATGAAATAATCAAAGTCAAACTATCGGCTCTGTAAATGGCTATCTCTTGGATCCTCCTCACTGTGTTGTAGGATAATTCAACTTTAATTATATGAAATAATCAAAGTCAAACTATCGGCTCTGTAAATGGCTATCTCTTGGATCCTCCTCACTGTGTTGTAGGATAATTCAACTTTAATTATATGAAATAATCAAAGTCAAACTATCGGCTCTGTGAATGGCTATCTCTTGGATCCTCCTCACTGTGTTGTAGGATAATTCAACTTTAATTATATGAAATAATCAAAGTCAAACTATCGGCTCTGTAAATGGCTATCTCCTGGATCCTCCTCAATGTGTTGTAGGATAATTCAACTTTGATTATGCAAAATAATCTAAGTCAAACTATCGGCTCTGTAAATGGCTATCTCCTGGATCCTCCTCACTGTGTTGTAGGATAATTCAACTTTAATTATATGAAATAATCAAAGTCAAACTATCGGCTCTGTAAATGGCTATCTCCTGGATCCTCCTCACTGTGTTGTAGGATAATTCAACTTTAATTATATGAAATAATCAAAGTCAAACTATCGGCTCTGTAAATGGCTATCTCCTGGATCCTCCTCACTGTGTTGTAGGATAATTCAACTTTAATTATATGAAATAATCAAAGTCAAACTATCGGCTCTGTGAATGGCTATCTCTTGGATCCTCCTCACTGTGTTGTAGGATAATTCAACTTTAATTATATGAAATAATCAAAGTCAAACTATCGGCTCTGTAAATGGCTATCTCTTGGATCCTCCTCACTGTGTTGTAGGATAATTCAACTTTAATTATATGAAATAATCAAAGTCAAACTATCGGCTCTGTGAATGGCTATCTCTTGGATCCTCCTCACTGTGTTGTAGGATAATTCAACTTTAATTATATGAAATAATCAAAGTCAAACTATCGGCTCTGTAAATGGCTATCTCCTGGATCCTCCTCAATGTGTTGTAGGATAATTCAACTTTAATTATATGAAATAATCAAAGTCAAACTATCGGCTCTGTGAATGGCTATCTCTTGGATCCTCCTCACTGTGTTGTAGGATAATTCAACTTTAATTATATGAAATAATCAAAGTCAAACTATCGGCTCTGTAAATGGCTATCTCTTGGATCCTCCTCACTGTGTTGTAGGATAATTCAACTTTAATTATATGAAATAATCAAAGTCAAACTATCGGCTCTGTGAATGGCTATCTCTTGGATCCTCCTCACTGTGTTGTAGGATAATTCAACTTTAATTATATGAAATAATCAAAGTCAAACTATCGGCTCTGTAAATGGCTATCTCTTGGATCCTCCTCACTGTGTTGTAGGATAATTCAACTTTAATTATATGAAATAATCAAAGTCAAACTATCGGCTCTGTGAATGGCTATCTCTTGGATCCTCCTCACTGTGTTGTAGGATAATTCAACTTTAATTATATGAAATAATCAAAGTCAAACTATCGGCTCTGTAAATGGCTATCTCCTGGATCCTCCTCAATGTGTTGTAGGATAATTCAACTTTAATTATATGAAATAATCAAAGTCAAACTATCGGCTCTGTGAATGGCTATCTCTTGGATCCTCCTCACTGTGTTGTAGGATAATTCAACTTTAATTATATGAAATAATCAAAGTCAAACTATCGGCTCTGTAAATGGCTATCTCTTGGATCCTCCTCACTGTGTTGTAGGATAATTCAACTTTAATTATATGAAATAATCAAAGTCAAACTATCGGCTCTGTGAATGGCTATCTCTTGGATCCTCCTCACTGTGTTGTAGGATAATTCAACTTTAATTATATGAAATAATCAAAGTCAAACTATCGGCTCTGTAAATGGCTATCTCCTGGATCCTCCTCACTATGTTGTAGGATAATTCAACTTTAATTATATGAAATAATCAAAGTCAAACTATCGGCTCTGTAAATGGCTATCTCCTGGATCCTCCTCACTGTGTTGTAGGATAATTCAACTTTAATTATATGAAATAATCAAAGTCAAACTATCACAATTGACAAAGTTTACGAACGTCTTATATGGCATCAACTGCTAAGTACACAAACTTCCTTCACAATTAAGTAATCAGCCTACCTAAAAATATAGCATGCGCACAACAGCATAGGCAAAAATATTACAAGTCAAAATATGTACCCTTGAAAATAACTAAGTTCAGTTAATGTTGAGTTATACTGATATTGAAATATTCTAAGTTCAATATTTATTCTCCAAAAAAAAACAAAGTCCAAAATAATGTTTCTCCAAATATTGACTAAGTTCAATAATTTTATTCCCAAAAATACGCAAAGTCCAATTTCATGTGTTCATGAAATTGAACTGACAGAGCTCAGAAATCTAGTATAGGCTTGATGCTGCCTCCAAACACGGTACTGAATATTCCCTCTTGAGGTATCCTCTACACAAATACACGGGTAGATGGCCAAGTTATCATCTACAGAATCACGGTGTAGCAGTCTTCCCTCTCAGGTATCCTTCATCACAAGTAGATGTCCAAGTTATCATCCACTGAACTGAAGTGCAGCTATGTATCTCCTATCTGCCTCGGGAAATATTCAAAGTCCCAACAACTTTCTACTGAAAATTGTCAAAGTCCAAAAATATTTCCTTGAAAAATGACTAAGTCCAACTTCACATAAAAATATGAAATTGAAACGGAGCTCTGTCCCGAACGAAAGCTAGCTGTAATCTGCTGAGCGCTCTCAGCTCGCTGCTTATATACCCAGCAGCGGTGCGGCGATGACGTCATCCACTTGTTTACATCAAATTCCAACTTCATACGATTGCAAGCTAAATAACGCCAAAATTACTCCCAAACATGAAATATAAATGAATTTAAATTACAGAGACATGAAATATAGCAACAATTATGCACAGAATGACATAATAAAGAAGCTTTAATGAGTTAAAGTTATCCTCATGAATTTAATTCCAAAATGGCCTAGCGCCGCAATTCTCAACTTGATCTCTATATATCTCGAAAAGTATACGCTAATTATATTCCAAACTTACTCAATCAAAACTTGAGATCGTTAGTTATACTAATCTATCAAAACTATAGAAATAAAGGCAAACTAACCTGTATTAGAACGATATGAGGGGACGATTCAAAATGCCGCACTAAAAACGTTGGTGGTGGTTACTGGATGTCAACTACCCAAACGTGAAACGAAAACACTAATTATATTGAAAATATACGAAATGACCGGAAGTAGCCAGTTAAACATGGTAAACAATTCACATACACAATTGTTAGACCAAGTAGGAATAAAAATAATTGCCCAAATATGTGTATAACTAGCAAGCTCAACTATAACCGGGGAGATTGCTGATAAAGTGCTGAAAACCTCCAAATACTAAGACCATAAAATTTTTGAAAAAAAATAATTTGTTACAATACTATGTACAGTTGGGGACATAAATAAATGACAGGTGGATTTGCTGAAGTGAGGATTTCCCATGTTAAAAATAAGAGAATTTAAAAGAGGCCATAAATCAGTGGATGAGATTATACAAAATGTAAAATAAACAAATTTTAAGGGATATGTATCTAGACAATATTGGAAATTATGGGATTTCAGACCACCATAATTAGGAAATGGTGATCGAAAATCGACCTGTCATTTATTTTTGTCCCCAACTGTATATCTCTATCAGTCCAAATGATACATGTTCAGCTTTTTATTTTTTTAGACACTGCATACTAAGAAGAACCTAACAAATTAAATTAATGGACCAACCTACTGGACGAAAAAGGAAAGCAGCATGGAACATTCCAGCAACAAGAATTGCAAAAAATACCCACAATCCTATCCGAAAGATCGTGGATGGAATGAAATTGACACCAAATCCGTCCAAACAAATGATTGCATTATCAATAGGTATGTGTATTTGTGAACCAATTAACTATCTTAAAAGTTGCCAGTATAACACTAGAGTCCATTTCACTGCTTCATTTCGTCAGTAGAACGGCAAAAATAAGAAATTGGGAGACCATTGTGCAATAATATATGGAAAAGTATATTCATAATGTACATGAATGACATTTGTATATCTTGGATTGCTTCTAGTTTGGCTTATAAAGTGTGTGGCCTCTTATATTTGGATGTTTCTCTGCCATGTTATTTTCAATAAGATTAACATGGCTGAAATTCTTCAAATTACAAGACGGCACAGGCTTATTGCTCAAAAAACTTAAAATCTGAAATATACAAATGTCATTCATGTACATTATGAATATACTTTTCCATATATTATTACACAATGGTCTCCCAATTTCTTATTTTTGCCGTTCTACTGACGAAATGAAGCAGTGAAATGGACTCTAGCACAGTTACATAAGTTACAGAGTTACATAAGTTTAGTTACAGAGTTTCATAAGTTTAGTTATAGAGTTTCATAAGTTTAGTTACAGAGTTTCATAAGTTTTGTTACAGAGTTTCATAAGTTTAGTTACAGAGTTTCATAAGTTTAGTTATAGAGTTTCTTAAGTTTAGTTACAGAGTTTCATAAGTTTTGTTACAGAGTTTCATAAGTTTAGTTACAGAGTTTCATAAGTTTAGTTATAGAGTTTCTTAAGTTTAGTTACAGAGAGGTATACCATGGGCTTTTATAATTCTAGTTGAAATACCATTGGTATACTAAAGATTGCGTGATTCGTGGTTAAATCCCACACGGGTCATTGAATTTAGCACGGTGTAGTGTATTTGTAATTCTTGTGGTGATCATCCTGTAATTTCTTAATCAAACTGTATCTATATGGTTCATAAGCTGATCATACTGTATTTATTTTTTCTTAGGTGATCCAACTGTATTTGGAAACCATCCACTTGCAACAGAAATAACAGACGCAGTCATCAAAAGTGCCAAAAGTGAAAAGAACAATGGATATGCTCCATCTGTAGGTTAGTGAACACTATTTTACCTGCACATCATGAGATTGGGGTCCAAAATATTTTGTACTACATGTACTTTTTTATTTTTGACCTGTAAAATAGTTTTTAAACCCAAACTACAAATATTCAGAAATATCCCTGCTATATTTTAGAGGAAAATCATTTGACATATTTGAAAAAAATTTTGAAAGAATTGTAAGGAATAATTTATGAACTTTCTGTATTTGGCAGATATGATGTTCATTCATTACAAGTCAAGGAGGATTGGCTCCCAGGATCGACAATCGATATTTTCCAACAATGAAAACGTCGAAATGTCGTTATTTTCGGAAATTATTACCGACTATAAGTTCAAAATAAACAGTCCAAAAGATTCGAACCAATATCTCGATCATTTCTTGTGAGTTTTGGAATTTTACGTTTAGGAATAAGACCAAAATTCACCATTCAAATGTTGAAGTGAACAAAATGGCGGCTGTTTGAATTCAAATTTTGAATCACGACATTTCCATATATGGGACAGAATATCGATGTTGCACTCTGGGAGCCAATCCTCCTTGATTACAAGTACAACTATTTGTGCTTTATCTCAATAACAGGTTATTTTAAGCAAAGGGGTGAATAGTTGAATAATCTTAGTGTTAGCCCGTACTTATATTCACATCTCTATTTTCAAGCCAGCAATATGCATTCTGTAAAGGAACTGATCAATCTGTTAACTATAGCAGAAGTACATCACTGAACAGATCAATGAACTTGAAAAGCCTTGAAACTTTATTCAGAATTATTATTAGAATGATTTTTTCACTACAGTTGCCATGAAATACTTAAGCATTGAATAATTTGATTATAAGTTTTATATAAGATTATATTGTTTTGAAAGCATCATTTCACAAATATCAAAATTTTACAAAGCAAAATTGTCATTTACCCCTTCCCCAAGCAAAACTGATTTAGTTTTCATTATTTTTGACACCATCCATCCCTTGTTTAGCTACATCTGAGGCAGAAATAAATCAGTTTTATATGTCCGAGAGAGTGAGATATGTTTGTATAATCAAATAAAGGTATTTATAACATTAGCCGAGTACAAATGTACTTTAAAATTTTCATATTTTCATCTTTCTGTAGTCAAGTTTGAGAGTTTTTCATATAAAAATGGGAAAGAAAAAATTTCAAGGGTTATATCTCTCAAAGAGACTTCCAATTCACTTTATCAGTGAAAGTTGCATTTTTCATACAGCAAAATTACTCATTTCAAATTATTTTCATGTGGATAGATAAATGAATCAGATTTATGGAAATATGCAATATTTTGGTGATGATCCATTAATTATAAATAACTTATGATTTAAACCCAGGGCTCAATGAATAGACTAGATGCGAGTAGACATAATCTTGATTTACGTTCGGGTTAATTCCCCATAGACCCAATGTTACAAAATCACAAAAAGTGAAATATCTTTTCTTGTATTGGACAAATAACATTTTCTTTTACTGGACATAGTTCAATTTGCATAACTATTAGATATATAAGGGTTATATGAAAATTGAACCACTAAAACAAATGTAATTGAATTTAAAGGGAACTTTCTGCTATACCTGCCATGCTATCTGACCCGAACGAGCCACCTGGTGGTGAAACTGGTAAATACCTACTCGCATCTACGTTATTGAAGATGATTTTCTGCAAAAATCTCTTGTATTAAGACGTTGAATGAAGTTGGTACCCAGAATTCAGTTCTTTGAGTCATGTGATTGGATTATTTTACATTTTGCAAAAGATTTGTACGGCATCAATAAAGAAAAATATTGAAATTCAACCAGAAACCTTTTTTGCAAGGGCTTTTCAAAGTTTTACCTATCATTGTTTTGACCTGCATAAGCACCTATTCATGCTGGCTAATCATTATGGTTCCACCAGTTTTTCACTTATCTGCCAAACTTAAAATACGAATTTGATGAGGGCAATTAATTTCATTAATTATGAAATTGATGAGGGTAAACTATAGAATTAGAATGCATGTTAAATATTGTGTTCTGATTGGCTGGAATTTGAAATCTCCTTTTGGATCACTTATTAAAGCCTGTTGGCATCTGCAACAAATGGCAGGTGATGACATTTTGCATGTTAATCCATATAATAGTCTAGAACTGAAAATAATCACTTTTAGCCAAAGATGCTATATAGCCTTATTTATATACAGTATTGTACATGTAATTATTTTCTGTCATTGTAGGGTATGAGAAATCTAGAGCAGCAGTTGCAGCATATTACACATGTGAAGAGGCTCCCCTCACATCTAAGGTAGGAGATACATGTACATACAGAATGTAGCCTAAGATGATCCAACTTGAACCAACTGTTTTTATGGCTATTTGTGTCACATTTGTTATATCCTGCCTATATCTGGAAATGCCTAGAGAGTATCCTATACTCCTAATATCATCTCCCTTTTAAAAAAACTCTCTGGTGAAAAAATTACTTTTGTGAATATTTACTGGTCTAAAAGATACCATCTACCCCCATTTAAACCACTAAAGTCAGGCCCGTAAGACACTTTTCTCCAAGGGGGGTGCGGTTTTTAGCTTACTAAAGAGAATATAAAATTGTCATTTTTTTGCCGCGTAATCAAATCGCGTAAGACAGAGGGGGGGGGTCAGTTACTCCCTATATTGGTTTGGAATTAACAAATGCAACTTCCAAACGTTCCAATTGTTTTGTGGGGGGTATGAGGAGTGGTCCACTCCCCCTAGAAAATTTTACAGTTTTGAGATGCTATTTGGTGCTTTCTGGGCACTTTCAAAGTGTAAGTTTCTAAGTAGTACGCAACCACCACGGGAATAAGAGTTGAGTGAATAAAAAACTGAGCATTCAGGGCCTAGGGGGTCTGGGGGTTCTCCCCCCAGGAAAATTTTGAAATTTGGTTGTATTTGGAGCGAATTTGCAACCATCTGGTACGCCTGTGCGATATGAGTCAATAAGAAAAATGTGAATTTTTTTTTCAAATTCTTTTAGGGGTGTCAAAGAGGATGAGAGGGTGAAGTGGGGTGGGGTGCCAGTAGGGGCGCAAGGGGTTGTCCCCCAGAAACATTGACCATATCAAGGTGCTATTTGATGATGTCTGGGCACTTAAAAAATGTCTGAGACAATACATGAAATTCAGAATATTTTCTTTTGTTTTGTGGGGGATGTGAGGGATGGCTAACTCTCCTAGAAAATTTTACAATTTAAAGATGGTATTTGGTGCTTCTGGGCACTTTTAAAGTGTATTAGTCAATAAAAACATTGAAAAACAATCACAATTTTTTTCAAATTTTGGGGGTGTCAAAGGGGGGAGGGGTGCCAGAGGGGGAGGTGGGGCTGGGGTGCCAGAGGGGGAGCAAGTGTTTGTCCCCCATATCAAAATTTACAATATCAAGGTGCTAATCGATGAAGTTTGGGCAGTTTAAAAGTGTCTGTGCCTAAAAGTGCCTATTTCCCAAGAAAATTTTACAATTTTAAGATGCTATTTGGTGCTTTCTGGGCACTTTTTGGGGTGTTAAGGGGGGGGGGGCTGCCAGAGGGGGAGGTGGAGTGGGGATGCCAGAGGACGAGTAAGTGTTAGTCTTCCAGAATCATTAACTTTATCAAGGATCGAGCTATTTGATGATGTCTGGGCAATTTAAAAGTGTCTGAGACAAAACACTAAAATAAATTTAGAACTTTCCATTGTTTTGTTTGGGGTGTGAGGGGTGGCCCACTTCCCCTAGAAAATTTTACAATTTTACGACGCTTTTTGGTGCTTTCTGGGCACTTTCAAAGTGTATGAGTCAATTAAAGAATTTGAGAAAATCACAATTTTTTTTTGGGGGGGGGTCAAGGGGGGGGCGCCAGAGGGGGGGGGGGCGCCAGAGTGGGGGGGGGGGCAAGTGCAAGATGCAAGAGGGGGAGCAAGTCCCCCAGAAACACTAACTATATCAAGGAGCTATTTGATGATGTCTGGGCACTTTAAAAGTGTCTGAGACAAAACACTAAAATAAAAGAACTTTCCATTGTTTTGTGGGGGTGTGAGGGGTGGCCAATACCCCTAGAAAATTTTTCAATTTTAAGATGTTATTTGGTGCTTTCTGGGTACTTTCAAAGTGTATGAGTCAATGAAAAAAAAATTACAAAAAAAATATTTTTCAAAAAAAAAATTTTTTTTCAAATTTTTTTTGTGGGGTGACAAAGGGGGGTGCGGTCGCACCCATCGCACCCCCCCATCTGACGGCCCTGAAAGTCCTGGTTATGTAAATGATATTACATAATTGTTTCCAAAATATCAGAACACATTTCTAAACATGTGCAGAATTACCAGCCTTTTAGCTCACTTTTAACAGCTGCAGTTTACATGTATGTTTAACTGCTAATCTGTTTGGACTGATTATTGAAAAGATTAAATTGGATTATCTACTTTAGATTTGATATTTTCCTTGGTGCAAGTACAATATATTTAATATATTTGCATGCTTGAAGATGTAGTACAGATATAGCCGTCAGTGACTTATTATATATGCATATAGAGCAACATTTGGAAACGCATGGAATTAACTTGAAATCAGTGTTGTTCTTCATTTGAACAACTTTAGAGAATTTAGAGAAATATCATATGTTAAAAAATTAATGTGGTAGTCTGTCACAAACTTTGCACTAAATTTGCTTCAATTTGGACAATTTACATCCAATTTATACAAAAAATTTTTTTTTAAATATGTAGAAATTATCTCTGCCGAATAATTTCACTGGGTAGAGCATCATGTCTTGGTGTGGTTTCTGGGTTCAAACTGATTTCAGAGCCAGAGATTCAAGAGATTGATAAAAAAGTTAAATTTCCTGTAAAATTTTCCTTTTTGGTATCCTTTTTAAGTTGATAATTATTTTTGAAGATGGGCCTTGCTATTTTATTCATGGGGTCTGTGACCGCAGATTGAACTCAGTTATGTATAGATTGTTATAACATAATGCATTGATCATATTTATTGATCAACATATGAAAGTATGACATTCGGAATATTGATTTAATATAATGTTTGTTGGTCTTAACCTTGAAGTTCCATTATATGCAGTTAAATATCACAATGAAAGGCATACTAAAAACATTTTGTTTGCTTTGATTTTTGTTTAAGTAATGCACGTAGGCTACGTTCTCAGCGTGATTATTAGCCTTTTTCCCAATGAAAATTCTGTTGGCTTATTTCATTGATTTTTGTATTTACTCAATTTTTCACATGTCAACTTCTTAATTGTGTTGAACATGTATAAATCATTGAATGAGATTGCTGTTATAATGATGTTACATTGCGACTTGAGTTTCACTTTTCATTAAAATATTAGAGTAAGTACTTTATGAACTGCATTGTTACAGTACAGCTGTACTTGTAATATTTCAATTATATTTTGTTTTTCTCTTACGTGTGATTTAAAGGTCATCCAATATCCTCGGTCATATAATAACAAAACTCTCCACAACCACACCTCCAATCTAAAAATAAGAATCCTCTCAAAATAAGTTAACTAACATATGTTACAAACTTAATTGATGGCCCTAGGGGAAGTCTGAAATGATTTATATTATTCAAATAATATGTTGTTTTAGACATTTTTCAAAAATATTTGACATTTAAAAAGTTTTTTAAGTGTGAATCTCCTGCCATTCTAGTAACAATTTATTTATTTTTGAACAATTTGTGAATAAATTATTTTAAATTTTTTGTGCTCTCTAATCAGTGAAACACATGAACTGTAAAATGATATATTCTAGTATATACTACAAATCAGAGGACATTATACTCGTATAAGCCCATGTACAATAAAACCTGTGAAATGGAACATCCCTTTGTACCAAAGGTATTCCATTTACACAGGTTCTACTGAATTTGAAATAAATGTTTTTTAAGGCAATGGCTATTTGCCCCAGCCTTGTTTTGAATCACATTTAACTGAATTATAATTATTTTTCATTCCAGGATGTGATATTTGCGAGCGGTTGCTCAGGAGCCATAGAGATGTGTATATCGGTTCTGGCGGAACCAGGGCAAAATATACTCATTCCGCGACCTGGGTTCTCACTCTATAAGACAATAGCTGAGTCGCAGGATATTATTACCAAGCAATATAATCTACTAGTAAGTACCAAAGTACCATTATTACCAAACAATATAATCTACTAGTAAGTACCAAAGTACCATTATAACCAAGCAATATAATCTACTAGTAAGTACCAAAGTACCATTATTACCAAACAATATAATCTACTAGTAAGTACCAAAAGAACCATTATAAGCAAGCAATATAATCTACTAGTAGGTACCATTATAATCAAGCAAGTTAACCTCCTAGTAAGTACCTTTATAACCAAGCAATATAATATACTACCTTGGGTAACAAAAAAACAGATGCTATATTTCTGGAGACCTTTCTTTAATGTAGAGTTAAATATAGAAATAAATGATAAAATGGGTATGGGTCTCTATGCAATATATTATGGGTTTATGGGTCTCTATGCAATATATTATGGGTTTATAGGTCTCTATGCAATATATTATGGGTTTATGGGTCTCTGTGCAATATATTATGGGTTTATTGGTCTCTATGCAATATGTTATGGGTTTATGGGTCTCTATGCAATATATTATGGGTTTATGGGTCTCTATGCAATATATTATGGGTTTATGGTTCTCTATGCAATATATTATGGGTTTATGGGTCTCTATGCAATATATTATGGGTTTATTGGTCTCTATGCAATATATTATGGGTTTATGGGTCTCTATGCAATATATTATGGGTCTCTATGCAATATATTATGGGTTTATAGGTCTCTATGCAATATATTATGGGTTTATGGGTTTCTATGCAATATATTATGGGTTTATGGGTCTCTGTGCAATATATTATGGGTCTCTATGCAATATATTATGGGTTTATGGGTCTCTGTGCAATATATTATGGGTCTCTATGCAATATATTATGGGTTTATGGGTCTCTATGCAATATATTATGGGTCTCTATGCAATATATTATGGGTTTATGGGTCTCTATGCAATATATTATGGGTTTATGGGACACAAAGGTTTTGAGTGTGACTAGAATTTTCCTATTTGGAATGAAATGGGATGTTGTGTTTCTCAATAATATACAGAATTTACCCCTATGTGGACTACCTTTGGAAAAGAGCAGACGTCTCATGAGCATTAGATTGAGAGGGTCTCTTTATAACAAATCAGAATGCATAATATATGGGTGTTTGAATAAAGTTTAGAAATAGTTTTTTACATGAACTATAAATGTCAGCCTTTGGCCTCCAGGCCATTTGGTGCATAGAGATCTGAAGGCCTCAATGCTTGGAATTTGACCTACAATATTAAATTAGCCAAAGTTAAATTAATAAAAGAGAGACAAGTGACATAGGTGTTTTATGAAGGAAGTAAGTAGACCTTAAAACACCTTTTGGTTTGTATTTGAAATGAAAATACTCATTATGATAAACAAAGACATTTTATTTTCTTCTTAGCCACGATAATCATGTTTCTAGTGAGACAGAAAGATTTGATCAGTGTTAGAATGATTCAATTTTAAAATACATGCTTTTCAAACCAGCACAGTGGTTTCAGTAACTTTGTGTACAAGGGGCAGATGAAAAATACAAGAGGCGGCATTCAAAATAACCAATTTTACGCTCCCGACAATGCAAATTCTTGTTATTTTAGAGTCCATGGACTGAAAGATAGATGTCCAAGGTTTGTCAAAGTCATTTCCACGTGTGATGTGGCAAGACATGGGCTCCACAAAATAACACCTGGAACTGTGGAATGACTAGGGCAACTTATATAGAATGACATTTACCTTTTATAAGATAACTTACCCTTACACAGGTTGCATTTCACAAATCCAAATGCACCTGTTGAATTGAACACTTTTGATATAAATCAAAATCTAGAATTGTCATTATTAAAATGAGAGTGATGTATTAATAAATGATTCACTTGTGATTATGTGAATATCAGATTCATTTTAGTTTTTACCACCTCCAGACATTGCCAGAAGTGGTGACAAACAGGCTGTTCCAAAAGTAACAGGACTGGTGCTGGTATTTTGTTTCAGGTGAAACAGAAAGATGCCATGAGTATCAGAATGGAAGAGAGCATATATTTGCATTGATGGTGTATAGATAGTTATTATCCCAACGAACGAAGTTCGGTAGGGATATAGTGAAGCCCTCCGTCCGTCCGTCAGTCCGTCAGTCTGTCAGTCCGTCCGTCCGTCCGTCTGTCCGTCCGGAAGATAACTCAAATACAAGTAGACAGATTTTCTTCATATTTAGTGGAAAGATGTATATTGGTGAATAGTTTTACACAAAAAAAATTTTTTTCAAGATGGCCGCCGCTTTAAAAATGATGGCACTTTTTCGCAAAAATCATAAATTTTTCATTCTAAACCAAAGTAATTAATATTATTGTTTGAAATTTTGGTAGTATATTCACAACACTTATCTATTTCACATATATTCCGTGTTTTTCATCCTGACCCCCAGGGGCCGTGTATGGGGGGTCAGGAAGACGTATAGTGAAGTATAGCTTTATTATACTCAAATGAAAGGCAATTAAGAGTAGATTGCAAATATTGTATCTTTTTTCTGATTCGAGCCTTGTAAAATTCAAAATGGCCGTCTAATGTACGATTTCGCAATAATTTTTCGATCCCTTCAAAGTATGGCTATATTATACTCAAATTGAAGGAATTTTGGAGAACATCACAATCATGGTATTATTCTTAAGATTTGTACCTCAGAAAATTCAAAATGGCTGCTTTGCAGGAATTCGTAATTTTAAAATCTAAATTTTTCAATTTTAACCAAAGTAATGAGTATAATTGATTGGAATTCGGTAATTGATATTTTGTTCGTTGGGATTTGCTACTCCCCGGAGTTGCCATTGTCTAGTTTTATATAGTGTTTTAGTTGTACATGGAAACCGATTCTAACCAGGAAGGATATTGCAACTTTTTTCAAGATCCTAAAGTTGCAATTCTCGTTATTGTGTTTCATTGTAGAGACGCACCTATGAAAGTGTGTCTCTGGTACAAAGGCGTAGTTCTACATTAATTTAAGATACACGTTTTTTAAACTTGTACGTGAACATGTAGAATTATGGACCTGGTGGATTTTTTCTCCCTTTTGTACTGTTAATACTTGGCCGGTTGAGTATATAAAGTAGAGTATATAAAATTTTCTTGATTTTGTCGGCAAAAAACAAGTGAGGATGATTGCTATGCATCGGTGTGAATTATTGCTTTAAAAGATAAGTGTGACCTCTTAAAGTTAGTTTTAAATAAATTCACGATATTTTAAACAAAAAGTCCTTCAAAAACATTTTTGAAATTAATAAAAAGTTTCACATTTCACGCTTTGATAACATTGGATAAGACAAAAATATAAGCCAAAGTGGTTTAAACTTTATATGGGACCTTTAACTGATTAATAGCACAATAACGTCATTTCTAAGGGCAATATAGTGAAATATTGGAACGATATTTCACTATATTGCTCGCAGAAATGACGTTATTAGTATTATTACCACCGTTAACGACCAGGGCTGAAATAGCAAGAAAAGCTTATGCACTGAACGATATCTAATTTCCCGGGGAAAAACTGCCGGTCCAGAATATATTCTAGACCGGTCCATATAGTCTCAGGTCCATATGGACCACCACTATGACGTCACACATTTCTCAGGTCGATATAGTAAATTGAATGCCTTCTAAACTAGCACTAAAACCCCTAGAACTGGCCCGGCAAGGTGGTAATAATACAATTTTACACCCATTGGAAAGACTGTGACTGGTTGTACAGAGTTATATCAATCATACATGTAACTGCATGTCCAGTGGAAAATAACCAACTCTGATTATACCAAAGGTTGGAATTTGAATTATCATGCACATGATAGTGGTTAGATAGTGATCTAAAATGCATAGCCCAAAGGGGTAAAAAATTGGACGGTGTTTACTACTATAATGAGATCAAGTGATCTTTACGATTATAATGAGTTCCCTTGCAGTTCGAAACTGAGGTACAAATCATAGACAAGGTAGTGCAAAACAAGATCGCTGAATAAAATAAAGGATAGTCTATAGAAGACTTTTATTTTCCCCCAAAACTATATTTGACTTCTAACAAACGGCGAATTATCGAAAACAAACGGCGATTTCGGACACTCGCCCCCTGCTATTGAAAGCCCAGCAGCATAATGCATTAGCAGATGCTGTTGCACAAATATGCTTAAATAAAGACTTAAATGTAATATGAGCTAGTGTAGAATATGCCAAGTATGATTGATGGTTTATTGCCCTTTGCTAACAAAAACACAGTATTCGCTGTTTTTTATATTTCTATTTTAACAGCTACAGGTAAAATACAGGATGTCCCGAAAGTATGGGGGCCCCTTTGGCAGACATATACCAGTGTCGTCATAGTATGTGTCATACATCATTTTAAAGCTCATCCAAAGTTACATTGATTTGCCAAGTATCGTGGTTCAACTCTCAACAGGAGAAAGTTATAAAATTTTAATTTTTATAGTCATTTTAAAATTTAATGTTTGGCCAAAATAAAGTTCAATTTTATACCATATTACTAGTCAATGTGTCATCCAAACTGGTCTCCAAACTGCGTGCATAGTGCACGCAGTTTGAAACATTGACAAACTGCGCGCATATTTAAAAATGGCAGACGGGGAGGACACGAATCCCAAAAGGATGAAAAGTACTGGAAATACAAGGTTAGATTGTTTATCAGACAGTTCCATTATGTGGTGACTAACTTACTTTACAAGTTGCACTTAACACTGATAAATGTCTGCCTGAGGGGGGCCCAAAACTTTCGGGACACCCTGTATAGTTCGATATCAGTATAATTGTACATTTAAGATAGCTTAGTTTATGTATATAAGCTATTGAGCTTTCTGCATGGACTAAAATGATATATTACCTCAGGGCAAAATGCCCTAATGTGTCACTTTGCTAGATAGAAAAATTGTTTTATAAAACAGAATAAATCCCAATCTTTGCCCAGTCTCTACTGCGACCGAAAAGAACTGAATGAACAAAGATTATGTCAATAACTCCGCAAATGGGATATTCTCTATTTTGCTATTTGATTCATGATTGTGCTGATCAGTATACCCATGGGCTTGCAATGGCTATTGAATGCCCATGGTACCTGAATTCAGTTTTGAGAAAGGTGCCTGAATGTGATATTGTCCCTTCATTCAGGTGCATGTTTTTCAAAACTATCAAAGAATATAATTCATGAGCAATGTATCATTCTGGTTTAACAGACCCTGCTTTCCTCCCATCTGAAGAAAATGCTATTCTAGACATTGATTATTGTCTGACTATTCATGCATCTGAGTTCTATTTGCTATTCTTCAGATCTTGAGGAGATTGTCTCTACTTCCAAGTATGCCTGGTGCTGTGCTGCACTTGAAAAAATATGATTGATGAACCGACAGACCCCTTGAAAGCATTGCAAAGCGTTAAAGATTCTGCTTTGGCAACTAACCAAGTTCTCGTAATATACTATCCAATTCTTGTGAATTATTTATCCTAAGAGTCAATGTTTGAGTTAGGTTAACCTCAGACACACAGTCCTGTCTAATATTATTTCAAAGCCTTTCAAGGTTATCTGGAAATAGTTAGTTCATGGAGAATTTATTTTACAAGACAACGCTATTTCCAGAATTTTCATCATTCTCCTACAGATGGTAGACCTTTAATCAAGCATTTCAAAAAATTTATGTTATAATTTCTCTATATTGTACATACATGTAGTTATAATAGAATCTTGATTACACTCCTCTGCCTTCTGGTTTAGTTTAATATTAAGTGGTCAGTCTACTAAATGGTGAAATCAAACATATTTCACTGGCAATGTAAACTCTAAGGGAAGTGAATATTGTTAGCAAGTAACTTGTAAGGGTTTGAATACTTTCCAGCCAGCTGATTGGTTAGCTACAGCGCACACCTCTATGAATAAAAATATGCAAGACAAATACTTTTAATGTCAGTGAATGTCAAGGAAACCTCCGCAAGCTGGCCTTGAGTTGGCTAAATTTAGAGCGCTTAAAATATTTCAGAGATAAGCAGGGCTTCACGTGGAAGCAATCTGCATTCAATTTTCAAGCAATCTGCATTCAATACTTTAAACTTTCAAGTAATCTTTCTGTAATTCTGTTTCAAAATCATGTTCATGATCTCTTTTATAGGTTTTCAGGTTTACAATTCATCAAATACCAATCATACATATACAGTTAAACCAGTTTATTTGAACACCTCTCTGATCTGAACACCTCTCAATACGAACACTTTTTCTCAAAATTCTCGCCCCCAATTTTATTATTTCACATTGACTCACTTGAAATGTGAACACCTGCTAATCTGAACTCTGAACACTTTTGTTCCAGTCCCAGTGGTGTTCAAATTAGACAGATTTCATTGTAATACCAGATAACTTAGTCAACTAATTTTCTGTTTACAGCCGGAAAGAAGCTGGGAAGCCGATCTGGATCACATGGAGTCACTGATAGATGGCAGTACAGCATGCATTGTCGTCACTAATCCATCCAATCCCTGCGGGTCCGTCTATTCACAAGAACATATTCACGATATACTAAGGATTGCTGAGAGGAACAAAGTGCCCATCATAGCTGATGAAATATATGCAGACTTTGTAAGTGCTTTTCCAGAAAACATTGTATTTTATGTCACTATGGGCCCATAGTGACATATTGTTATGGCCTCCAACTTTTTCTGATGGCATTCAGCAGTTTCTCTTAGGTGTTTGGATTTGGAATTGGGCATCTGTAACAAATAGGAGGTGATAATATTTTGCGTGTTCATGCCTTGTGATTTTTTACATTTGCAAAGATCGCTGTGTATAAGGGTTCTACATGAATGCATATTGCTAGTTATATTTCTTGTTTAAACATGTATGAAAATGTAATATTGATTTCATTGATTTTCTTCGAATTAAAATGTAATTAATTATGTTTGTTGAACATAAATATTGATGTATAATAATATTGATCCTGGGATCTATGTACAATAACATATGCAATAACGTACAGTAACACATACAATGTGTTTAGGTGTTTCCCGGGGAGAAGTACTTTTCCATGGCATCTCAGACATGCGATGTGCCGATTCTGTCTTGTGGGGGTCTCACTAAGCGCTACCTGGTACCTGGCTGGAGAATGGGTTGGATTACAATTCACGACAGACATGATATTTTTGCTCAAGAGGTATGAATACCTAAAAATTATTTATGAATTATGTTCAGTGTCGTAGCCATGATTTTGAAATCAATGAAGCGAGTTGAAGTAAGGGGAGATTAAATAACTTCACACCTACATTTTCATTTTAAAAATTCAAAAACAAAATTGTTATTAAACATATTTCTGTAAAATTTTAACGATCAAGATAAATGGGTTGAAATTGTTGGAAAAACTATATTGTCTAATGCTTGTGATATATGCCTTTCCTTCAACATTCTTTTAGTGCTAATTAGTTATTATATGTACTGAAAAATAAATTGAATAATTTTAGGTGCGACAAGGACTAACTAACTTATCACAGAGAATTTTGGGACCAAATACAATTATACAAGGGGCCCTTCCAGATATTTTGAAACTTACACCAAAATCGTTCTTTGATGAAACCATCGCCTCTGTAAAGGTAAACAATCCGTTTTGATATATTTTCTTGAATTTCTTAGCTTCTTTGTATTTTATAACCACAAATGGTAGATTCTAGATTTAGCTTTCTGTAATGTTGCTCCTGATAAATTATGCAAGTATTCATCAATTTTAATTGTATTTTCATAAAAGTTATGTATTTTAAAAGTATTTGGAATTTTGATATTTTTAGTTTCTAAATTAGGCCATAGGAATTAGGATATTTGGTTTGACTGTAAGTAAGTATCATCTTAAAGGTGATGTTCTGACCATAATATTAATATCTAATGGCCTAATACCTTGATATTACCATTTAAAGTTTCATGTGGTTTTTAATTAAACTTACATGACCTTTTCGCAACATTATTACCCCATGTGTCATTTGCAGACCAAAATGAGGCTACGACCTTTGACCTTTGAACCAACATGGCCGCTTGCTCTGCGTGAAGCAGAGTAGCTTTGGAATAATGACAGGTTTATAAATATATAAATACTGTAAAACTCAGATGTCATATCTAATCTGACCTTATCTTTTAATATGAATATATCTGATGTCGGCTGTTATACACCTAAACATTAGGTTCACTAACATTTTAGAATTCCATATTGATATTTCCCATATTATATTTCACTTCTTTATAATATTATATACATTGTATGCTGCTTTATATATCCATTGTAATTTGATGGTATATTTCAAATTGCTTTTACTAATCCAAATTCATCTTCTGAATAAAGTTGATCTAAAAATGTATGTTTTAATTAAAATCTATTTTAGATAAAAATTCATTCTTGGGATTCATTCTGGAATGCTATTGGTTAAAGTAAATCGTTACGTCTAGCAAACCTTTTGATTTCACGACTAAAGTATTCCGGGATGAAATAAAGTTAACGGTTAAATAAAAAATGCCATGGATTCATTTCTTGTTTTGGAATTCGTAATTTATTGATGTTCTTGTATTTCAGAAAGTTTGTGACATCACTTACGCTGCCATGACAACGATTCCTGGATTGAAACCTGTTAGACCTTCAGGTGCTATGTACATGATGGTAAGTCAAGTTTTTGACAATAGGGAGTTTAAGCTTGCAATGTTTTTTACAACCTAAATGTGAACGGAAAATATTTTTAGCGATGCGTTTGTACAGGCGATTGGTCATACGTATAGGTGCTTTTTCAATATTATATGCTAGATTAAACTCCCAAATATCAAAAGAAGGACCGCAAGAATCATTTTTATGTCACCACCAGAAGTGGTGACATATTGTTATAGTGTCCAACATTTTTGTGGACAGCGGTTCGTGTTCGACATCTGTAACATAGCATCTGTAACAAATGGCAAGTGTTGACATTTTTCATGTTAATGCCTTGTTTTAGATCTGATCTTCTTGTATTATTCTCACAGATTCTGATTTAGAGCTTTATTATAAAAAAACATCTTGACTTGACAACATGGAATAGTTTTGGCCCACACTATTGATGAGCTATGATACATTGAACATGTTAAGAAGCCCTTGTTGTCTCACATGGTGAACCCATATGGAGTACCCCACTTTACTCTTCGTCCTCTTTCCATGTGTCTACAATGTCCTGCCATTTCCAATGCCATTCACCTGCACTGATATGATGCTCATGTTATTTATGGAAAATATTCAATATTTATCAAAAATGATCGATTAATATATCTGTTTTCTATTTGAATACAGCCAAATACAGCAATGCCGTATGGACAGAAGTGTTGACATATTGCTGTAGTTTCCAACTTTTTTGTGGATGGTGTTCAGTGGTTGGTGACAGTTCGCTTCTGTAACAAAGTGCATTCAGTGGTTGGCATCTGTAACAAATGGCGTATTGTGGTTGGCATCTGTAACAAAGGCTGTTGGTGGTTCTCATCTAAAACAAATGGCAGCTGTTGATATTGTGCATGTTGATGCCTTGTTTTATTTTGCTTCTAAAGTGTAATAATTCAAGTTAAAGCATTATTCTTTGTTATTCTCTAGATTGGCATTGAGATGGACAAGTTCCCAAAATTCAAGAATGATGTGGAATTCACAGAAGCCATGGTAACGGAGCAATCAGTTTTCTGTCTCCCAGCAACAGTGAGTTGAATTATTCATTATTTGTTTCATCCTTAAAGGAGCACTAAAGAGGCATTGCCTTTATGTTCTCATCGAGATTCATGATTTCATGATTATGTAGGGTATGTGACGAAAGTCATAGAAAAATAACAGACTTTTAGGAGATACTTTAGCAATCCAATCAACACGGCCATATTCACTTGGATTTGTACTACATGCTAAACTCAAGCACAATTTTTTCAAACTTTTTTAGTTTACAAATTAATTCAGTTTTGCAGTATTTCAAGTTATTATCAATTTTTCAGGCGTTTGGAATCAGCAATTTCTTCCGAGTGGTCCTGACAGTACCCGATGACAAAATGATCACAGCGTGTGAGCGCATTCGTGAATTCTGCGCCACTCATTATTGCACGAGTAATGGCAATGGGGTATGTGAAATTAAAATGGACATTCATGAAATGGAGACCATTCCAGTGGCCCAGACAGCCTAATATGGGCAAAACAGCTGAATAATTTCTAATGTCTATGGAATAGACTAAACATGAATTGGAGCTATAAGCGATGATATTGACCATAGATGCTACATCAATAGGATTAAACTTGACCAACAATGAATCTATGAGACGTTTGGATTATGAGAAGCTTTGTGCTTTTAATGTGGATTTAGGGGAAGCACTTCCATCTCAGCAGTGTCACATTCTAAATGTTAAAGCTCGGTGTATTCTCCACTCTGGTGTATTCTCGTCTCCGGTTAAATTATGTTTAATATGCTTGAGCCAGTTGAGAAAAGCCAACCGAGAGCTTGTAAAATATGCTTTGATATTACATCAAGGAGGATTGGCTCCAAGGATCAAAACTCGATATTTTCCAACAATGAAAACATCGAAATGTTGTTACTCTCTGAAATTATAACTGACTATAAATTCAAAATAAACAGCTCAAAAGATTCGAACCAATATATCGATCATTATTTGTGAGTTTTGGAATTTTTGAGTAGAAAATTCACGATTCAAATGTTGAAGTGAACAAAATGGCGGCTGTTTGAATTCAAATTTTGTGTCACAGGATTTCCATATATGAGACAAGAGTATCGATGTTGCACTCTGGGAGTCAATCCTTCTTGATATTACATTACATGGAACATTTACCCTTTGCAGTGTGGTGGGGAACTTAACTGATATTACTCCCATATTTTATATGTATCCATTCAAAAAATAATGAAAGTATTTTAAAACAGTGAAAGTATTCAAAATCCAACCGAAGGTCTCTAGCTCATATGGGTAAACTATTGTTATCAATCACCTGTTTGTTAAAAAATCTTAGAGAAAATGAACTCAGAAATGTGATGTAGATGAAAGAAAACTGTATAGCTTGTAATATCAGAGTCGAGTATGCTTATATTTTTGATAGTCAACTCATAGTCTATCATTGTAGTGTATTGACCAACTGAATGTCATATATTTGTATTTGTGCCATCTATAAATTACAAGAAACTATTTTTGCATTGTACATTGCTAGTGTTCAGTACCTAATTGTTAAAGATGTTTGTCATTAATGAACTTGCATTACATTTTATAAAAATTATTTATATTTTGACTCTATCCTCTTAAGCACTGGCAATACTAGTACATAGTTTTGTTAGATTAAGACTGAGCAAAAAATATTAAAAATAAGAATACTGACAGTTTTGAGTAAAATATTGTTTTAAGTGTATTGCTTACAGGGTGTGACATTAGAACTGACCTAGAGACTGGGGGCATGTAGATTTGATCTGAGCCAAATTGACAGATTTTTACCAGCCGTTATTTTGCAACTTACATTTGGTGCTTGACATCAGCAGAAAATTTCATTTTTGTGACTAGTGGTTGAATTTTGTCATGTCATGTCACGCTGATTTCAGCAAATATAGTAAAATAACATTACAACTGGTCAGAAATCAGTTCTAGGTCAGAAATCTTTAACACACCCTGCTTGCGAGACATGCTTTAGGCCAATATAAAGATGGCAGTGTGATTTTTGTTTGTTATTAAAAAGACACTGCTGTGTTTGATATTGGCCAAAAAATTAATGGTAGACACGTATAATATTGAAATGGATGGATCTGTTATGCTTCAATTACATTTGGTCTATGTTGAACATATGGACCATGGACATTTTGTGTTAACCATAGGAGAAAAAAATAAGACCCGTCGCCACACCAAATGTGACTGAGGCATAACCAAATTCAAAAATAACCTGTGATACTAAACATTGCCATAATCTTTAGAGTCTCAATATTCAGTTTGTTCAACTGACATTTTGTTCAATTTTTGTCTGTTATTTGCCAAAGCATAATATATAAAAGGGTAATGGATACAGAGTAATATTGTTCAAGTGAGTTTGTAGTCTTTTGATTCTAGTTATGTGCACAGAGTATCTTAAGAACTAAAATTTGTCGTGTGAACACATTGTGTAAATGTATAATTATTTAGTTAAGGTACTATAGTTGAGTATAAATTGAATTGTATAAAGTTATTATGTTTCATCTGTATTTACATTTGAGTATGTTTTAATATGATGTAATGCCTGAACTCGGTGAATCAGGATTCAAAACCTCAGTGATGAAGCCTGATATTGTGGACAGTGTATCTTTGAAAAATGACTTGTTACTAGAAATTGTTGTTGGAAACCATTGTTCAGTGGCATCTTGGCATTCTCTTTGGATTTCCATTATGTATATGTAAACAGTAGAGATCCCACGATACCATTTTTTACTTGTCTCCGAGATCAAGTTTTGCAATTATACTGATGCATCATGTACATGTATTTGTGGATTTGGGGATCCCTACTGTACAGGTTCTTCTGTATCAAATGAGTATTGTACGGTAATGAGAGAAGGTAGAGATCCCACGATACCAATTTTTTACTTGTCTCCGTGATCAATTTTTGCAATTAAACTGATGGATCATGTACATGTACATGTATGTATTTGTGGATTTTGGGATCCCTACTGTACAGATTTTTCTGTATTAAATGAGTATTGTATGGTGATGTACTTTTATGTAATCTCATTTCAAAACAGCTTATGGCTCAAACTGGTGTCTTGACTGTATCCGTGTTTTGGGTCATTCGTAATGTCCTTCAAAGGCAGCTAATTTTAACTACTCGCCACTTCTAGTTGTTGTTCATTCTACTAGATGGCAGTAGTGTAGTGTGTGTGTGTATGCATGGGTGAGTGAACGGGGAGAAAGACACCAAGTTGTTAAAGGTTGGACTCCAATTCAAAATTTCCTGTTGAAAGAGCATTTACATGTTTAGGGGTTAATGCACTTCTGATGTGGCTTACATATGGTATGATGCATTCATTTTTATAGGATGGCTTATGTATGGGGTGATGCAATCAGGGGATGGTTTACATATTTGGTGGCTCACATATGGGGTGATGCTTTCATGGGGTGGTTCACATATGTGGGGTGTCTTTTTCTTGAATGTTTGTTTGTGTGAATGGGTCATGTGTCATATTTGGAATATATTCCATTTATATGAAAAAGTTTTAGTTAAGGGCATGTGTGTATATTATATTATTTGGGGGTGGACTTGTTTTTGTTTGAACAAATATACTGTGGAATTCAGTATAAATGGATATAGGTGTAGTCATATAAATGGACTTCACGTCGATTGTTTATATATGCAGTTGTATGAATATGTGGAGGTATTCTCATTTGACAACATTTTGAATGGTTACAAATCACAACTACAGTTTGTGTTGGATTGTAATGGTTTATTTTCCTTTATAAATGTTTATAGTTGGAATTGATATTACAATTTATGTTATTACCAATGTACTATAATCTGTATGTATCATTGTGTTCACATGAACACCTGTTAAGAAATTTTGTAAAGGAAAGGATTTTGCTGAAAACATTTTTGTATATTTTCAAACTAGATCTGATTTCTCTGCAAAGATAGTGTAGTATCTGCGTCCCCGAGGCCCAGGTATACAATAATAGAGTAAAGTTTATTGTGTTACATTCATCGTATTTCTAGGCCCCAGTTTAGTCCTATATTTGAAGTGTACGTTTCACTCAGACTTCAGTCTGCTGTAATATAAAAGAAATAAAAAAAAAACATCACAAAAAGTGAACCTGTTTATTTTTATAGTGGAATAAGACACGGGAACATTAACACTTTGTCAAATAAAAACAGTGTTAAATGAAACACTTCACAAATGGAACACTCCGTTATGTTAATGAACCTTTGTAAATGGAACACTTTTTGTGGTTTTAAGGGTATTTCACTACCACGGGTTTTCCTACTGGTGTTTGGTAGCCATTTCTATATTTTTTTGTAATAGTAGAGATGAATTATCCAAGTGTAATTGTCATGTATACCAAAGCATACTTCCCAAATTCTAAGATGAATAATATGGCTATCTTATTAACTAAATCAAATGCAGGCAAGGAGGACTTTTCAGTAGAATCTATCTCATAATTTTTTACCAAGCCTAAGCCACAGTTAAGCAACATTTTGTGCATAAAAAACAATATCTCGGAGTTTATTACAGCGAAGGTGCTTCATTCTTTTAAAACTCCACATTGCCAATAGATAGCGCTGGCATCAAAAGCTTTTGGAATTAACTGCCAGCTGATCATAGAGTGATTGATGTGAAATTAACATGGCAGACATACGGTTGGTTGGATTGGGACATTCCACATTTGCATAAATATTTGTCACCCCTGTGTTGATAATTCGTAAAGGGGGCTCTCTGTGCTTGCATGATTTGTCTTTTTACCAAAAAATAATGTTGAAGATTATTGTTTCAAACAATTTAGACTAGGCTCATTAATTTAGCTAGTGGTAGAAATGTGTGATCCTATGTAATGAAATGGCTTGAAAATACAAAATTAGTATGTAGAGGATACAGCAAAGAACAGTGAAACAATAAATTATATAAAAATAATTTATTATAGTGTACATGATTTGTTATATATTAAACACAGTGTAAAGCATAACTATAAAGAGATAAATACAGTGTTATCTATAAAAAGCATTAACTCAACAAGCCTATATTTTATAATAACCACATTGATCCCTAATCTCTCATTTATAAATGCGCATACATGTACAGTAAAAAACCTGTATTCGTGAACACCTTGAAAATATGAAGTCAGTTTCTTTTTGGGTGTCAATGTTAATTCCAATGTTTTCAAATAGTGTGAACATCTCTTATAAAGTCACTGGAATACTTATGCATCCCTTTAAAGATGCATCAGCGTCGCTTTTAGCTCTTACATGAACATTTCCTTATTGTGTTAACATGAATTGCTCCACTCCACATTCTTTAGAATTTAATTAGATAAACATATGAGATACCCAATGCATGGAATGCTTCTAAGATATTTCTCTTTTCCCTGTTGAGAAATGTATATCAATTTATGTAAAGTGTTAAAGAGACACAAAATGAGATGCTCAAGCATTAACAAAAGAGATGCTTAGAGATATTGCTTACTGACTGTTTATATGGTCAAATACCAGATTCTGGATGTATTCAGGTTAAACAGGTTTTACTGTAATCCTGGTCTGTTCATTAGTTAAATACAATGTCATGTTGCATCATAATATCCAGTTGAGCCCCAGACATTTGTTACTCAGTCTGAATTGGTCACTTCCAACAAAAATGCTGTTTATCAGTCTATCGAATCATTTGCGACAAACAGAAGATTACAGTTTGTATTTCTTAAAGGTGACACTTTCTAAAACCATTCATGACAACATTTACCCAATCTTCCCTCTTAGCTATAGAGTATAATCTCATTATGTTTTAATGTACAAAATTGAGCACTACACTACACAATACAATACAGAATACAATATATTACTACAGCAACTCTAAAGTTGAATTCTCTAATTTAAATATTTTAGGATGGAATGTTATTACTAAAATTATGCAGAGGTATGCATTAAAATCACAATCACATATCACATTTTTCATTCCCAGCATGCCCTAAGAGTTTAGCCATTTCTCAAAAATCATCATTTGATATCATATATTAACAAACAACTGAATTTATGGAATCAAGAACCAAAATATGTTTTCATGAAACATCTGTCTCGAAGAGCAGTACTGAATTTACGTCAACAGATTAGTAAATATCAGATATGTATTTTAAAAAACCTGTCCCGTCATAAAAATATAAAATCTTTAAAACAACCTTATGTTTATTACAGAACCGTATTAAAATTATAGTCATTTGTCAGTTGAAATATCTGACCACATTAATAAAGGCGCAAATGACACGTCATATCAGTTCACTTTGATCATATGACACAATTTTAAAATACAGAAATCATTTAGATATCAGTCATGTGATTATCATGATTGTTTGACTCATTAAAAATCCAGACTCATTAAAGGTACAGACTTCATTTTGATAACATAACATTAAAGGTACAGACCTAATCTTGATCACATTACACATTAAAGGCACAGGCCTACCATGATTTCACATTTGTTAATAACAGATAAGGCACATTTTATTCTATAAAGCTGATATGTTAGAATCATAAATTCACAAACAACCATAAAATATTTAAATGCATACTAATATGTACCTTTCACCTTCTTTCTGTAATATCGAATCTTGTTATGAATCTAAAATATTATAGGGTTATATAGGATGAAAAGTACAGGCACTGCCCCTTTAATAATCCAGTGTAAAATACAAAATACTGCATTCACCATGGATACAATGACATTTATGAGCAGGCAACCCTATGTACCAGACGTATGCAAATATCATTATGAACAGGTGTCTATTTTAACCTTTGCTTATTTTCAAGAAAGATTTATAAAATATATGATGAATACAATATCGCATAAAACTCCTAGTACTGTATTGTAAAAATATTTGATTCTATCCTTGAGCAAATGTCTTTTCATTCAAAGTTTAAGTTCAGTGAATATTACATTTACTTTGTACTCTATACATGATCACTTAAGACTAGAACTGGGAGTCTGATTAAACCGTATTTCAGCGAATTGTTCACACGGCACTCACGGTCTTCATGGTTCAAATGTTATGAAAAAATAATGTTTTTTACTACTGTCTCAACCTAAAAATTCTAAAACTTGTGAAATCTTGGTTGTCTATGGGAGATTCCAAAGATTCAACCTTGTTCAACAATATAAAACAAGTCGTTGGTGAAATGGTGATATGAATCATATATGACATATATTTTGAACCAGGAAGGTGCCATAAAAATATCACAAGTTATGAACCATTTCATACAATTACAACTTAATGTCATTCATTTACCTCTGGATGAGTGACCCCAGCTTAATTTTGGATACCAGCCTCACTTTGAATATTAGCAGACGGACTATAAGTAGCCTCACTTTGGTTTTGTAGCTCAATTGTTACATCATCCCTATGAAGGTCTACATTTATTGCATTGTTTCGTTCAACAATAGAATCATCCTGACTTTGATCATTTTGTTCAATTGAAACATTTTGTTGAATTGAATCATTCAGCTGAGTTGAATCATTATGCTGTGTGGTTGAATCTGCTTGTGGTATATTTGAAGTGACATCAGCTGACATCTCAACTTGTGGAATATTTGAAGTGACATCAGCTGACACCTCACCCTGAGGCATATTTGAACTGACATCAGCTGACACCTCACCCTGAGGCATATTTGAACTGACGTCAGCTGACATTTCACCCTGAGGCATGTTTGAACTGACATCAGCTGACATTTCACCCTGAGGCATGTTTGAACTGACATCAGCTGACATTTCACCCTGAGGAATGTTTGGACTAACATCAGCAGACACATCTGCTTCTAAAGCATCAGCCTCTGATATGATATTGTAGGACGGAGGAGGTGTACTTGGAATGCTAGAGTTTCTCGACTGAAATGAAAAAAAAAACAAGAGTAAAGCTGAATAGAAGTAGAGTGTCTTTTATAAGGCATATCTAATCCAGGAACTTCTCATAGGTATCGTAGAAAAAGTACAATGTACTTACAGGGTTATTAGACTGAGATTGGGCTTCATTTTCATCCTTTATGACATCAAAATAGTTGGGTGGCGGTGAATCTATGGCCATGGGGGGTAGATCCCTGTAGTACAGTGTAGAGTCACTGCTTCTGTCACTGTAAAGCATTTGTCTTCTGTAGTTGCCATGTCCCATGTCTATATCTCCTGACTCTATGTGTTCACCATAGTTCCTGTAGCCTTCTACATCTGGAATTATAGATATATCCAGAGATATAGTTTACTCCACTATTTCTTCCTATGTCATTCTCTGTCACTTAATTTTGCTCTTTGTCACTTTATCTTCATCCCACTCTATTTCATTCAATTTCTCACTATTTCACTCTGTCACTTTAATTTCATTCATTTTCAATAAATTCCACTCTTTACTTTGTTTTACTCCAATCCTCTATTCCACTCTGGTCTACTTAACTCAATTTTCACTCAATTTCACTTTTTCACTCAATTACACAATATTTCACTCAATTACACACTATTTCACCCAATTACACACTATTTCACTCAATTTCACTTTTTTACTCAATATCAATTTCATCTCTTTTTCACTTTTTTTTATTTATTTATATATTTCTACAAAGAATACATTAAACAAGAGCACATGTGCTTGTGGCTGGGCATCAGCATTATCAGCCACGTTATATGATAAAACACAATTAACAGTATTCAATCAGACATTAAAATAGGGGTTGTATTTGTGGAGGGTTACAGTGGTGGGGGTGACCTAGACATTATTACATCGTTCAAAAAAGATGGCACTACATTTGAGGATATTTAAGTTTACAGCTTTAGGTAGTCTTTTATCACCATTGATCTTTTTCACTCATCTTTGCACTCGACTCTAATCAAATCCATGCCAATATATTCCACTATGTTCAACTCTATTCTGCTCAATTTTCCTCTATTTTACTCAATCACTCTTTATTTCCCTCAATTCCACTCATGTATTTTTTTAGATTTTGATTCTAAAGTAACATGTCACTCTGACTTTAAACAAAGTAAACATTGAAAATCCTAACACTCTTTTGAGGACCTACAGTTAACATAATGTTCTGAAAGAGAATATAAGTATGTTTTGAATGTGTGAACTGAAAGAAATGCACAAATAGGTAGTTATTAACTTATTAGTATGAATAAAATAATTATGTGAAATAAAATCAAAATAATGTGGAATTATATTGGAATAAGAATGTACACTGTATACGCTCATTGTAACCAAAACAATATCAAACACTTAATATTTCCTATGACCAAGTGTACTGAGGATTTAAAAGGAAAGTGAAACCAAATCTCAAATAAAGAAACAAAATGGCTGCTATACAATTTTAAAATCACGTCTATCAAACTGTAAAGCTATGAAGCTATACACAACATGGAATTAACAGGACCATTCCCTAAGCCTAAGGACTATGACACTTTAAAAGACTACAAAATACCAACTTCAACCACCAATGGAATAGAACGTTTAACAGAATTTGTGAAATATATTGCATCTAAAATTAATGTCAAGAACAGATACACAACAGAGCAGCTCAAAGAACACACTGAATATGTTGAGAAGTTTGTGAAAGATTTCTGTATAGATTTTGCAAGGCACACTCCTAAAGGTGACTTGTCCAACGAAGGAAAACCTAATCCAATTCTTGAATCTAACAGTATCATAAGAAGAGGCAGCTCATATGAAGGGACTAAGATTTTATCACCAAGTGAATATGATTTCATTCCAATCTTTGCGTGGTCATTTGATGCAGCAATCAGCGTGGAGAAGGTGGGGAAAAGGTGTAAGTTGGCAGGCAAAGGATATGGTTTCATCAATATAAAACATGGAGACCTACACCAGATGTTACCTCCAGCTACCCTAACAAAGAATCAAACTGATAATAGAAGTATATCTCAGAGTCAGATTATTTCAAGTGCATTACAGCATTTACCACTGACTGGACTGAATCAGTTGTTAGTCCCTACTGGCAAGATTGTAGAAGATCAACCTGGTATGAGTGGATCAAACAGATCATCTCAGATATCATCATCTTCTGAGACTTTTCCTCAGAGTCAACCTTGTTCAAGTAGTCTGAATACATGGGTTCTCATAGCATTGAATAAAGCCATTGATTCTTTCCTGAGTGACAGTGATAGGTATGATTACATTGGTCAGAAAAGTCATGATGAAGATCCCGAGTCCCCATACCCACAAGGTACCATCAGTTTACATGAGATTACACATGGTACCTGTGTATGGTTACGGATTGGTGCCCCCATATGTACAACAGACATAGATCTCGCTTATGCAGTAGAGAATATGAGCGAGACCCAGAAAAGGTGTGTTATGGTGGGTGAGTGGCATGTGGACTGTTCCAATTTCACGTGTAAACATAAAACTCACTGGACTGAGTCACTTATACATCCAGGACTCCATGGCGATACAATAGTACACACTTTATCAACAAATCACCATCATTTATTCTTGGTGTTAAAATATATCAATCATCTGATTCAAACAAATCTCAAAACAAAAACATATTCGTCTTCATACTCATACAAAATGCTACTTCACCAACATCAAAGGGGTTGTCAGAATGAGAATGTTGGACAATGCCTTGAGGATATAGTGAACCAATTCTACACATATGAAAAACAATGTATCGATACGATTGAAACAAATACATACAATTATAATCACCTGAAGGAAGTACCAGACATAAATTATCCCAAGAGGATGATAAAACTTCATAACTTTGTCGAATGTGCTGCCCTACTCTGGATCATGCAGCATGTGAAGCACACCACTGACACATCCTGGTGGGACATGTTGCTGCATGAAGACTTCAAACCAAAAGATTTCAAAGAGGGTCATATGCTTTATTCCCTACTGGACATAGTGCAACAGGTAGATAGATTCAAGTGGAATAATAATCTCAAGAAAGGTTCAGTGATCGATGTAGAGTTCCTTCATGAGGATAACACTAAGACAGTATACAGATGGATCAATTAATGGCTGGGGCCGAGAGTAAGATTCAGACTTCATTCCTTGCTGGACAGACATAGTAGAACAGGTAGATACATTCAGGTGGAATGAAAATCTCAAGAATGGCTTAGTGCTTGATATAAACTGGCTTCATGAGGATAACACTAAGACAGTTTTCAGATGGATCAATGACTGGGGTCCACCAAGTATCAATATTGACATTGATTTCTGCTGCTTTCTATTCTGTTGCTGCTCTCATTTCTGCTGCTCTCAAATAAAAGACTAGATTCTGATTCTGAGTAGACTCTTTACATTTGAAAACATATCCAGAGAGTTTATATGAGAAATAATTTTGGATGTTTTCATAAGAGTTTCTGGAAACATGTGATAAAAGTAAAGAAAGTGAATTATATTTGAAAATTTTTCCAATAGATTGAAAAAGGAATTTGACAATGGCTGTTTTTTGAGTAAGAGGCCCAGTCAACATTTTGTAATTTCAAACTGGCTGATATAGTCATAAAAACAATTAATTTATTTCTCTTAACCTTTATTGGTTCTGAAAATGATATTCTTCAAAAATCCAGATTTTAGAATCCTAATCAGGGGAATTTTTGATCTTATTATAGATTGATGTTGCGATAGGAAAGCATAATCAAGACCCCCTGGACTTCTTGCATGTTGAGCCGTACCACATATTCACCTATCTACTTACTAATGACAAAGCCTCAAATCCACCATTTTCTGTGCTAATTTTACAATTATGGCTAATCAAATTATTTTCTTCAAAATTAATTATCAGAAACTTGAATAAATTGGGGGAATTCATATAATATCTAATTGGTCGTCGAAATTTGTTAATATGGTTACATGACCAAAGGAACTCGGTAAATGGTAGTTCTGGAAATTCTAAAAGATGCTCATGTCATTTGAAAGGGTTTTCCCTTGATTGTCACGATCAAACTCAATTCTGACAGTTGGTTTATCTGTTGATTTTCTCGATAGCTAGAAATGTAGATGCTTAATGCTAGAAACAGCCCCCATGTGGGCATACATGATCTATTGTACTTACTTGACCCCATTGTGCCACTGACAGTTGGAATACTAGGATGACCTGCCTCACGTCGTCTCCTCCGTTTGTATTTAGTCAACATGACGCAGAATACAACTATTACTGCTATGATCACCATCACAGCGATTGCAACCCCTATAAACAAAAAATCAGTGAAATTTTGGGCTTTTTATTTGGGATGTAATATGAATATCTTTTTTCATGGATAGAACAATATCTCACCAATGAGACATTTATATCAATTCATGCAACCGCTAAAAATCTTTCAGTATTTAATCTATGCAAATTCAAAATAATCAGATATTATGTGACTGTTAATAATATCATGGCTAACAATTTAATGCTGTTCTACATTTACTAGAGTACGAAGTTGTTTCTAAGTTTGAATATTGGAACTTCTTATTTATATAATCTAGTGCCATCTTTAAATACATGGACACTTTATACTTATTCTAAGTTCCATCTTTCACTATTTATTAGAATTTGAGCCAGTGACACACCTAGACCAGCGCCATCTGTGTATGCTTCCTCAGGGGCAGGGCCAGGTGTGGGATTAGAGGTATCCGTGACCATACGGGTAGTGGTTATATTGCTTGCATGGCCTTCTATATGCATTCTGGAGAGTGATTTGAAGTAACCCTGGAAAATATGTGAAAATATGTTTACACTCCCCTCCATAAGTTTGGAAACCTTTTTCCCCCATTGAACTACGTGTTAAAGCCTCTTTACGTTTGAATTTTTATTTACTTAACCGGCGATGAAATAACTTACGATATTGATGGAAACGTAACTTTCCTTTATTTCCAATACCTCCAAATTTTCTCAATTTTTTTCCTCAATTACAATAGGTCGAAAATTGATGATAAATTTGATGAATTTTTGAAAATCGTCATTCCCATGTAATCCAATGGGAAGTGAAGGGTTCGGGGCAAATCAGAAATCAGGATGTCTTTTCAGTAAAAGATTAAGCAAAAAATATTTTCATGTAGAAAATTGAATTGTCTAACTTTTTTGAACACTAAGTGTTTAGTTTATTTGATGAATATTAATGTTACAGCGCTTCAAAGTCATTTTTGGAAATAATTTTTCGCCTCCTGTGTTATTTCAATGGGAGAGGTTTTTTGAAAAACAATAAAGCCCTATAACTTTGTTGAACCTGAAGAAACATATCAATTTTTTGTTAAATAAAGTTAGCAAATTCAATTGCCTGCCTACCATTTCCCATTGGTTAACATGGGAATGTCGATTTACATATATTCATCAAATTTATCATCAATTTTCAACCTATTGTAATTGAGGAAAAAAATTAGAAAATTTGGAGGTATTGGAATTAAAGTCAAATTACGTTTCCATCAATAGTATAAGCAGTTACCAGTTTCACCACCAGGTGGCTCGCTCGGGTCAGATAGCATGGTGGTTATAGTAGAAAGTTCCCTTGAACTTAAATTACATCTGTTTTGGTTCAGTTTTCATATAACCCTTATGTATCTAATAGTTTTGCAAATCAAAATATATCCAGTAAAAGAAAATGTTATCTGTCCAATACAAAAAAAGATATTTCACTTTTTATGATTTTGTAACATGGGGTAAACTGACCCAAATGTCTTGAAAAGTGCTCAAAATGGCAAAAAACTGCATGATTTTGAAAGAATTTTTGGCTGGGGGGAGGGATTCTCCAGCCCCCCCCCCTCACCCTCCCACCTGGTAAGTTACATCCTAAATGGACTTAGACTTACCTGTCTTCTACTATAGTACAGTGAAATATTGTCTGTAGTCCCTGCAGTTATTTCTGTTTAGGCTTCTTATGCAAGATTTATAATCCTATAAGCATTTTGTGATCTCAAAAAGTGTCATGGATTTCTAGTCACAACAGTGAAGAAATTTTTGTGTTTCAGTAATTTTCTTGGCCCCTTACTGCAATTCTTGAATTTCCCTTGTTTTGTATTTGTCCCAATGATCAATCTGGAAATATATTAAAGACATCAAAATAATTAATGACCAGTATTTGTAATATGTATCAATCATGCGATGCCCATGACGGGAGTCACTCATATGTGTAGTTTTATATAAAGATGTCAGGTCAGTATAGGCATGCAAGTAATTGATAAGTAAGCATCATTCAGAATAAAAATGAATTTATATGATATAAATAACAATTAATAAAAATTCATGATTCTTGTGACTTAGTGCAATATTTTTTAAATAATGAAAAATGGCAGGCTATGTATTTTTAATATATTATTTTATTTAGTCATTTTAATTGAAACAGTGAATCTATTTTCCAGTCCTAATACATTTTCAACAAACAGTGGTGTGACTTACAAAAAATTAATTAAGTGCCATGTGCAATTCAAGAATATCCAACTTAACTTGTCCACGCCTCAACAAAAACGTGTTAATTTTCTATAACCTATGTTACAACAGTTCACATCTGCTGACTCAAAAATATATTCTAGAAAATAGCATCACGAGCAGAAAGTAGTTATACAATTGCATGCAAAAATTTGAATCAAATGCGTGACATATATGTAATTCCAGGCCTGTCAACTGTCCCGCAATTTGCGTATTTGTCACGCATTTGCTGAAGAATTTGAAGTCACGCCAGTTTTTTTTGCGTGACACAAAATGTCACGCAAATACGCATTTTACCTGGTAATTGTCACGCAAATATGTTTCTGTAAAAGATTTTTCAAAATATGTTTATGATACGGTAAAAATACGAACGTCGGAAAAAAACGAACGCAATTTGTTCGGATTTGTCACGCGAATCCCGTAAATGTCACGCATGTTCATTGGAAATTTTCCCCCCCCCCCCCCCCCCCCCCCCCCCCCCGTTGACGATATCGCTAGCGAAAAATTTGAGGTGATAAAAGTTTAGCAAAGGTGCTCAAACTTTGGCCAAAGGTGTTTAAAAGTTGGCCAAAGGTGTTCAAAATTTGGACAAAAGTGTTCAGATTTGGACTTCGGTGTCCAACATTTGTAAGTCACTCATATTAGGTGGTCCCAAGTTGACAGCCCTGTAATTCACTTGAAACTTCTGACCAACGGCATTCGTTTTTTAATGTTATTCTCCCAAAATATTTTTGCTTGAGAAAAATCAGAAAAAATGTGTATTTGCATGACATATTCCACGGTGCCCATGTCAAGGTGCGCGCCTACTTAGGCGCGCAGTTTGTTTCGATCACAAACTGCGTGCCTAAGAACATTGCATCATTTAAGTTGGAGTCTGTATTTTGAAACGTAATTTAAAGACATTTATCCTGCATTGTTTTCTTGTTCAATGCGTTCATTCTGTGGCGAATATACGAATCTTGCAAATACTAGCAAAAACTATGTGCAAATGAATCGATCTAGCACTTTAAACATAAATGACAAATACTTTAGACTCGTTTTATATTTAATTCCTTACACATTTATCATGTATAATTCGAAATATTTCGAGATAAAACAGATAATCAGGAGATTAAAAAGAAATAAATCACAAACTGCGCGCCTATTTTAGCCAGAAATTACAAACTGTGCGCATACACTATTAAAACTACATATTATCATTGGAATTTCTACAGAGGCACGTGTAGGTGTTTTTCATGTAGCTTTGGAAAACTTTTATTTTCAGATCACCATCTTGGTGGATGGACTCTCATAGTGTTTCAATTATGGGGTTCTACTATTAGACACATGTGCCTTGTATGGCGATTATGTTTTCTAATAAAATCAAAACAAGCTTGGATGGGCAAGCAGTTATATAGAAATATTAGGCACGCAGTTTGGGAAATACATGTGAATATAGGCGCGCAGTTTGACAAGAAAAATGTTTAAATCACGTTTATGGCGTATTAATGTTTTGAACACAAACTTTTTTTAATCAGATGGAGTGATCCTATGTATTCTAGCATACACAGACACAATGGCTGAATAAACGGCAAATGACGATAAAAAGACATAGATATAACTTTACACTGTAAATTTTGAACACAGAAGTTACTTAAGACCCTTATATTGAGATAACTAGGTTTACATCGGGAAAAACATTGAGTACTTTGAGTAAATTAAGTTCATCTTCACAGAATGGTACTATCTTTAGAACGAGACTAACCTTGTATTTTTCGTATTTTGGCTCTTTTTGGGAGTCGTGTCCTCCCCGTCTCATATTTTGAAATATGCGCGCAGTTTGTCAGAGTTTCAAACTGCGTGCCTAGTAGGCACGCTGCTTGACATGGGCATCGTGTATTCTGTCACTAAAAAAACTGGCTTGACTTCAATTTCTTCAGCAAAAGCATGATAGTTTACAGGCCTGAGTCTTACATATATCTGATGACTACGACCACAGCTCATAGTTGGAGTAGGCCTTCCAGAGGGATAATCTGGCAAAATATCAATCAGTTTTGTTGGGTCATTTTCTAAGGATTCCCAGGTCTAAGTCACATTTGTGATAATCTTAATATTCTTTCCTGCTATTAAAAATTATCTCATCACTAATAAAGACCATCTAATATCCTTCCTCACGGGGGATAGTCGTCACAAGGCATTCACGGTTGATGTTGTAAAATCAAGGTGTGAGTATTTTTCGAGTAAGATAGAACAAGGCATTAACATGACAAAATGCCGCCACCTTGTTGCTCACAATATCATTAATTCACATGTTAAGTCAGATTTGAATTTCTGAGAATTCTGGATATGATTTTGAAAACAAATTGGTCAATTTTAAGAAACTTAAAAAAAGACCTTTTTGACCTTGAGAAGGTCAAATCTTTTTGACCTTGGGAATGCCATTGAAGGTCAAATCTTTTTGACCTTGGGAATGCCATTGAAGGTCAAATCTATAGTCAGATTTAAACTTTTGAGAACTTGTAGGTGATTTTGAAAAGAATTGGTCAATTGATGATTTGCGATCACCGGATGGATTCTATCTTGTAGTGATGTCACAATTAGGCCAACAAGCTTTAGATGTTTGATTTTGAGAGATTATCTTCTATATTTCGTGTTTTATTGATTTAGTTTTTCACGAAAGCGTTCGAGTTGACTAGATCAACATTCATGCTAACCACATACCAAGTCTAAGATCTTACTGACATGATTTAGACAGCGGTTAAGCGCCCCCCGATTTTGACAAAAACGGGGGCGCTTATAGGCATCAATGTTTAGTATGAATTTCATCCAAACTTCGCACAAATATAGATATTCTCATGATCTAGTCAAATCGGCATACCTGGTAAACATCCGACCCATGGTTTTCGAAAAAGAAACAACAATATTTTTAGCTCAAAACTGCCACGTGTCCGCCATTTCGTTATTCCATCATGTTTAATATCATTTCTATATGACGTCACACCAATAAGAGGAAATACATGACAACAGTATCCATAAACAAAATTCCTGAATTCTGATCGCAAAAGGTCAATTTGAAGCAAGTTGAAAAAAAGACCTTTTGACCTTTCTTTGACCTTGAGAAGGTCATTAAAGTTCAAATCTTAAATCCAAATTCAGATTTGAACTTCTGAGTACTTGAAGATGATTTAGAAAAAAAATTGTTCAATTTGAAGCAAGTTGAAAAAATACCTTTTTGACCTTTTTTAACATTTTTTGACCTTGCAAAGGTCATTGAAGGTCAAATCTTAAATGTAAAGTCAGAATTGAACTTCTGAAAACTTGTAGATGATTTGGAAAAACTGAAGTCAGTCTAAACAGTATTATTATTGGAAGTTTTAAGAATTGGGACCCAAACTGCCGTCCACCAATCGCCAACCTCCAACCACTGCCACAAAAAATGGAGACCATAATAATATGTAACCACTTCTTGATGGTGACATAAAAACAATAAATTTTCATATTTACACTTAGTTAACAGTGTTAAATCTCAACCAAATTATGAATAATATCTCAGTATTTCAAATGAACCTCAATTCACAATAGACTACAACAAGAGAAGAGACCGCATATTTACTGTGATATCGCTGATTTTATTTTCGAAAAATGATGTTGAGAGATCAGCTCTCAAATTCAATATGATTTATTTTTATTTATTATTTTTTATTTATTTATTTCATGATAATATAACAATGGAATGTACAAAGCATGTGCACTCGACACCCTTAGTAATTGGGCGTATCAGTGCATATATCAAAAATTATTGCAGAGCAATCACAAAACATATAATATATAACAGTATAACATACATTATCTAAATTGTTTAGATGCAATACAGAAACTTTGAAGTCTGGATATAAATAATTAATTTAAATGGAATGTGATCTTATATAGTATTTCCATTCATCTTTTCCAAAAGGTCCTTTTTAATGTTGTGTTTAAAAGAATTCAAAGTTTTACATGTTCGAAATACAATTGGCAAAGAATTCCATAAAATAGCACCAGAATATGTCACTGATCTTTTTGTCAATTCAGTTTTTATTTTGCTGGGGAGTATATTATGAAACTGTCTTGTAGTACGATTACCAACATTATGATTGTGCATGTATGTAAAGTAGTTTTTGAAAAGATAAGCAGGAAAATTTGATGGTTCCTTGACACAATTATACATAAATTTTGATTTCTCTAACCTGTGAATGTCAAAAATTGTTAAGATTTTCATTTCCCTAAATAATGGTACACTAGATTGTTGATAATCTGCATTACAAATCAGTCTTACAACTTTTTTCTGAAGATTAAGTAATGGTGTAAGTAATGATTTGTTGGCATTACCCCATATGATGTTGCAATACAAAATATGTGAATAAACAAGTGAATAGTAAATGCATGTCTTGATAGTTTATTTCTTACTTTGAAAAGAATGCCTATTATTTTTGAAATTTTTGAAACAATATATTCAGTATGCCTATTCCATTTCAGATTTGCATCAATGATTACACCAAGAAAATTTATATAGTTAACTCTTTCAATCTGGTTATCACCAATATATACCTTGTAGTGATGGCTATTTATATTATTAAGTCTTGATTTAGTAA